ATAAAAGAAAGAGGTTGTAGTGGTTCCAACGAGAGAAAAGTATGTATATTAAAAAGAAGAGAAGAGAGGTGCCGCAAACGTTTTTGGTTGTAATGTGGATTTATTTAGAAAAAATATTATGCTTTGTTTTACATAATTTTACTACACGTGTTTCTGGTCTCGTGACCGTCTTCAGGTAAAAGCGGAGATTTCCACATCTTGAAATTAAGAAAGAAATTCGGATTACTAACACATAAAATGTCTCATATCGAGAATATTTAACATTGAAAAACAAAAGAAAAAATTAATTATTTTTAATAATATGTGGAAATTTTTTAATATATATATATCTTAAATCAAGGTGGTAAATACGTTCATACTCGTATATCGTTGGTAATAATGTTTGCCGTACACAGGTTTATACATTTATTACGAGTTATGATGTTTGGTAATAGTTTTAATATTCTAAAATTTATATTTTATTTCTTTTTTTAATTTTTAATGTAATGTTTTGTATAGTTAATTTGTTATTTTGCATGCCTAATGTTTTTACTTCTTACAGTGCCTTTTATTTAAATACTATGTTTAATTCTGTTAAATAATATATTTGGTTTCTTTCAAAACGCCAAACAATCTTAACTGATTCATTGTATCAAAAATATTTTCTACTCTATTTGCAATCATATCCGGTAAAATTTGAATCTTTCTTTATGATTTCTACATCAATGTTAACGATTTTCATTGGCTGAATTGTTATGAAAAACTTCTGTTTTCCTTTCTTATTTTCCTTTTCTTTGTATTAATTAATTTGCTATATTACTCCTCTTCATTTTTCTCTTCTATTTTGCTTTCTTCTTTCTTTTACTTTTATATATTTCTTTTCTTTTCATGGAAATTCTTATGTCTTCCTAAAAATTTCAAAATGTAAAATGAAGTGATGTTTCATAACTAGTATTTTTAAATGAAATCGTTTATAACCATCTTTGTTCACCACCTGATGAGATGCTTATATTAGGCATCGAAACATATGCATCTTTGTAGTGATTACTTGTTTGTTCGTATGTAATAACTTATAATTATATATATCATAATTAAGTAATTCATCGAGTGTAGAAGAAACCTCAACAGAATGCAGAAAGCACTGGACGGCCGTTTCGTCCTATATTTAGGACTCATCATCAGTGAATATATATATATCCATATATATATATATATATATATATATATATATATATATATATATATATACACACTAGTGGGTAAATGAATTTTGCCATTCATTACAGTCGATTTTGTTTTATTTTTGTAATACGATTGAATATAATATCTTGGAGGTTTTACTGATTTTTCTATTGGTTGCTTACAAATAACAGATGTGAAACAAAGATTTGTAATCTTCCAAATATCGCCATTGAGGCTTATCGTATATGAACTAAATACTTGGTTGCAGGTCATTGAAGGTGCTCCCAACGATACTGTAGAAAAATGGTAGAGAAACTATCGTAGAAATTTTAATTGGAACTGCGTCCAATCAAAGAATCTCAAGAGGATAACAATTGCTTCGTGGTTAGCAGTTTCCATATAGCAGACACATCTGGCGGATACTGACTGCTATCAGTGAAACATTTGGAAAAATCAATATTCGAACGGATGTCTTAAAGGAGTTTTTAGTCAAATTATATTCCTTACTTAGGACGATACAATTAAAACATTCTTTTCTAAATTGAGGTTTACTGAATCTCCAAGATACGATAGCGTTTTCCGAAAACGATGGTGCATGCTTGTCTTTGCCTTTTAGATTTTGTTCAATGTTATAGCAGCACATGGATTGCAATATCCACTGTGTTTCTAGAGAGCCAATCATCTAGGTCGCTTCTAAGAGAAAATTGACAGGATAATCCGTGGGAGTTGAGATTTACCAGGGAAAGAGATGTTTTGTTGATAAAATATGTTATTAGAGGTTCTTTTTCTCTTCTAGTCGACTATCACTCTCTTATTTATATATATTATATATATATATATATATATATATATATATATATATATAAAGTACCGATTTTCATTTAAAAAGGAATGTGCCTTAAAACTTTAAAGTTTGCTCAAACGTATCAAATTTGGAGAGATTCTAGTCGTGTTTCCCTAAACACGTGTCAAAGTTCACAACGCTGGAACTTCCAAACATTCTCTTCACCAGTTTAACCATATCGTAATTGTAGGCAGTGTGATATTTTTTAAAAATCTTTACTATCAGAAAGTTTTCATGCAAGTATTTTTAAATATATTTTCCACTTATTACTGCTGTGCTCTTTTCTATTAAAGAAACGGTATGAATCCATCTTCCCCAGCTATGGGTTAAATACTATTTGGCAAAATTATTGTTATTCTAAAAAATTGTTAATAAAATATTCACTGGCAAAATAGGATTGTTCTTACAATCCAAAATGTTTCGGCTTTAAATAACTCAAATAGGGTTGATAAGACGTAAAAAATAAATCAATTTCAGGAAGTCGGTCTTTTCTTTTTTTAACTTCTCGGCTTAATAAACATCTTCAAACATTCTACCATGCTTCATTTAAGACACAGGTGTCTTAGCGTCTGGTAATGCTTATCAAGGTTAGTCTGATTAAGTATGTCGTAAGTTCGATCCTCACTGGGTGCTCCATATAAAATTTGATATCAGATAACCCAACAAGGGTTAACATGTCACAAAATCGCCCAACTAATCAAAAAGACTCATGTGGCATTGCTATTGTAAGGGAGATAAATCTAAAATAATCATTTTTCAGTGTTCCTGACTGAATTTCGTAAATGACGAGTTATCATCCTTGACATTATTTGCAGTCAGATTAAAGTCGTCATCTTTGCTGTTGGGATCATAACGTATTTCACAGGACAATGGCCCACAGGATGCAAATGTAAGATAGTCAATCTGTGAGAGAATAATTATGAGTTCAATCCAGAAGTACGGATATACTTAGATTCAGTAGGAACGAGACAATAACAGAAAGTGAGATTTTTCTGGACAGTAGGATTAGAAAAATCTTTCCTCGTAGATTGAATAAAATGTTCAATTCGAAATTCCCCGAAGTTTATCCGACAGACAGAAAGCTGAAGGATACAACAGCCGAAACATTGTGATCATAACAACAAAGACGAGGATTTACACTATTTACATCGTTCGGACTGTTGTCTTCAACTTTATTGTCATATTCATGACGTTTCGGCAGTTATACGTTCCGGCCTTCTTCAGGTGATATTTGTTGGAATTACGAATCGAACCCTTTATTTAGCCCATGGGGGTATCTTGTTCTAATTCCACGTGCCATGTTGTTGTTTTTTCTGTTTTTTTTTGGATATCTCAGTTTCAGTTAATTTCCCTTTTAGTCAGTCAGTCAGTCAAATGACTGACGAAACAATTTTTCCCGCAGTAGGTTTGCCATTTCTTTCTGCGGTAGACCAGTCTATCCTGCTATTTACCCATAGCTGGGGGGAAGAAGAGGATTCATACCTTTTCCAAAGTATTAGCACATAAGTGAATGTAATGCTTCGACTGAATTCGAACTCGGCTCTCCGATTCCTCAATCCGAGCCTTTTCATTACTCCACTGTACCTCCTAATTCCTTTAGTAACTCGATTCTCAAGTTTTTGTTCCTCTGCTGTGGTCAGGTATTGAACTCGACTTTGGTTCAAGTCACTTTTTTGAATTATTCAGTCAACGCTTTTATCCACTGGACGATGTGTTCTTGGGGAATTAGAACAATTTACCCTCGTGGACTAAATAAAGGGTTCGATCGAAATGCCAAAAATATCACCTGAAGAAGATCGGAGTGAACAACGGCCGAAACATCGTGAATATGGCAATAAAGACGAATTTGAATTAAACATCACAGGTGAAAAATTTATTAAAATATACTGTTATGATTTCGATTCTCACTGGGCGCTTCCTACTTTCAGCCTTGTGCCATATCTAAGCTATACTTAGTAAAACACACACATCTCTCTCTCTCTCTCTCATATATATATATATATATATATATATATATATATATATGAAGAAATATAATTTTAAGGTGTGCTATATTTATGGGATAAAGTGCTCAATATCAGAGATAGAGCATATGTAGATATAAATATAAAAGTGAATATTGAAGTCAACAATCAGCGGCGACAGGGCTGACGATTGTGTCTGGAATGAAACAGCCTGTCGCCTCTGAGTGTTGACTTCAATGTTCGTTTTATATATATATATATATATATATATATATATATATATATATATATATATATATATATATATATATATATATATATATATATATATATATATGAGACACTACGACATGGTGTAACGGTTAGCAGGCTTGTTTTGCTAGATCAATTAACACGGTGTTCGATTCTCACTGGGGGCTCCATGCTTACAACCTTGTCCTACATCTAAGCTACCCTTATAAATTTCTTTATTACTGGTACAAGCTGTTTTGTTCTACTGATGTAATGCGGGGGATACAGACAAAATTTAGCCTTACTCCAATTTATAAAAGATTAGAGAAATTCTAGAAACATTTGTATTAATCTAATCTATGTACGATTAAATTTCTGTTTATGTGTTTGAAACAAAATCGCCTCAGCTCGAAATAATATTCGAGCGACAAATATTAAGCATTAAAGAGAACTTGAAATAGAAACATTTTAGGGGAAAACAAAGATTCTTTTAAATTTTGCCTCACGAACGGCACTTTGTTGCAGTAAACAAGAAATAAAATGATTTTTTTTTGTGGAAATAGTGAATAGATTTTCAAATTTCGTTCAGTTAAAGTCGAATGAGAAAAAAACAAACAAACAAAAAAAAACCCTAAAAAAACAGAAGAATGAGAAAATATTTCAGTTTTACAGAATAGATTTGTTAAAATTATCAGACGTGTGCAAAAGTGTCCAGTATTTCATTATTATCGAAAATGTCCAACTGTGAGAGGATTCAAGAAACATTTTCACACCATTTTGATATATTTATTTGATAAACGTTAAAAATGAGAGGGAGAGAGCGGGAAGAACGGGGGCAAGAATGAAAGAGAGAAGAATGGTGGGAGGAGAGAATGAAAGAGAAAAGAACGTGGAGGGGAGTGAATGAAAGAGAAAAGAACGTGGGGGAGTGAATGAAAGAGAAAAGAACGTGGGGGAGTGAATGAAAGAGAAAAGAACTCAGGGGGGAGTGAATGAAAGAGAAAAGAACTCAGGGGGGGAATGAATGAAAGAGAAAAAAGAACTCGGGGGGGGTGAATGAAAGAGAGGAGAACAGTGGCGAGAATGAAAAGAGAAGAATAGGGGGGAGAATATAAGAAAGAAGAATGGTGGTGGGGCGAGAATGAAAGAGAAAAGAAGGAGGGGGAAAACAGAGAGGGAGATCCTGAAAAAGTGCGAGTGCTAAAACGATAATCAGAGCGTAAGAAAGAAAAAGCGCAGCAGAGATGACGCGGAATATGCAGACCCCGCCTTGCCAAGTGTAATCGGCTATGACAAAGCTTTCTATTAATGTTGCCATCTGACAGGTAACGTTGTCAATTTGATGGTGTTTGATTTCCACTTGGACGAAGCCGAAAATTTTTTTTTTTTTTACAACTCATTAATGTGGCTGAGACGCTTTGGGATTCAAAGTAACAAGTAGCAATCCCTGATGTTTGCAGTAAAGAGTGTAAAACTAAAGTGTATATTGATAAAGCCTACGCCAAAATGAACAAAGAACTTAAACTTATGCCGTTTCTATTGAGTGGAGATACAGAATAATTATTTAGTTGTAAAGTTAATTTTGCAGATCCATCATAGGTATATATGATACGATATTGACTGTATCTCACTAGGTATGCATAGCGATTACCGGCGAGTAAATTCCGACTGTCGCACTAGTATCCTTGGGAAAAGTAGCAATTTATTTCTTCTCTCCCAGCAATGGATTAAATTGCAACATAGACGAAACTCTCGAGCCTTGGTTGGTTAGAAGAAGGAACATTCTGAATTCAAATCCGAGGAAAGCGGTTTATAGATTTCCTGGCACACTTGGCACCATTTTCTTCGTCATCAGTTCCCCAGAAAAGTGTGACTATAGCGTCATATGAGAGCTCACATCTAAATTATGTGTAGTTAAAGTAGCTGTTCACTTCTAAAATAAACCTCAACTTTCACACGTTGACATCAACGGGCAGTCTATCACCCCACTACACACACTTTATATATATATATATATATATATATATACGGTTCTGCTAGCATGGTTTCTTCGATTTTTAGTGTTATGCTACATAGATTCTAATCTCTCTCTCTGCTTCCCTTGTTTATGAAACACAATCCTATGCTTTCATTTTTAGTTCTTATTACATATATATATATAATGATAAAATATACAAAATCTTCAAATTTACCTTGATAAACTCACTCAAGAATCGAAACGCATTGGTATAAAAAAGTTTCCTTTCCGTCTTTTCCTTTATACATCTTCAGATGTAAATAAAATGTATTTATAAAGGCAATATATACCGTTATAGATATATTTTTGTTTGGTGATGACGTGACACACTGGACACCATTTTTTTCGTTATCAGTTCCTTCGAAAAGTGTGGCTAGAGTTATATAGACCATCACCGCTACATCGAAATCATGGGTGTAGATCAAATAGCAGTTCAGTTCTTAACAAAATATCTCAACCTTTGGCCTCTCACACGTTGACATCGTCGGTAACACCATCATTCCCTGTCACGCATACATATGAATAAGTATATCATCATAATCGTCATCGTCATCATCCTCCTCCCCTTTACTTTTGTAATTTGAAAGCAGAAGCCATATTGAATCACCTCCACAACGGCCTATCAAAGAAAGCCATCAGCAATTCTGGTATAGTCATACCTGTCCATTGTTTGACATTGGACAACCAGTTTTTTTCGTTGGCTTCCTCTCCTATGTCCACCTTCAACGGTGCCTTGCATGATGGTCTTGCACGAGCTGCCGTGCCTTGTAATGTGTCCAAACCACTCCATTTTTATCCGGTTAACAGTGGCGGGAAGAGGTTCCGAGTAGTCCACAAAAATTTCAACCCTTTTCCCGCACAAACTCGTTGCTTTTTTTTATTCTCAATATGAAATGCCAAGGAGTTTTCTCATGGATTTGTCCTCAAACGCTTGGATCCTTCTCTCTGTTTCTGCCAACAGTGTCCACATTTCACATTCATATAGGAGAATGGAGACTACCAGCAATTTGTACCGTCTGTACTTCGTTTGAAAGCTGATTGTGCTCCTTGCAAATTTGACCATCGTTGTGGCAATCCATTTGCGGATTTCCGAGCTGCAGGTACCATCTTCACACACGATTGCTCCCAAATATTTAAAACTAGAAACTTCTTCTATGAATTCCCGTTCATAGTAATGTTGTTACTGTTTGTGCTATCCACCAATACTTTGGATTTCTCGAAGCTGAACTCCATTCCATATGCACCTGCTCTTTCAACAAGTTAATAACGAAACACATTATATATATATATATATATATATATATATATATATATATATATATTTTAGGATGCATTTGATACGCATCGAAACACGATTGTAATTGTGTAGCGATTTTGACATGTTTTTCGATGTAATATCCTCAAATAAATAATATTGCTCTATTCCGTATTGAGCCCTTTTTTAAATTAAATATTATGAACGTTGGAATTATACTCTATTCATTCTCATCTTAACTCTCTCTCTCATATATATATATATATATAAAATTATTTATTCGAAAATTATAACAGAAATAAAATCACTACAAAAATAGCATAACATATTTATGTTATAATTTTCGAATAAATAATTATATTTGCTCTACTCTGTATTGTGCACTCTTTTAAGAATAGTATTTATTGGTTATTGGATTTTATTCCGTATACATCAATTATATATATATATATATATATATATATATATAAATAAAGGGATTTTTACTCCGACAGTATATCTTATTACTATGAACTTAGACTTTTGTGGTTACACGTGTTTGAAATGCTATCCTTGTGTTTTTTTTTTATTTTTATCAGTGAATTTAATAACAAACCGTCGAGATAACAACTCAAACACGTGTAGCCACAAAAGATAAAGTTTATTAGAATAATGTCGGATTAAAAAACCCATTTAATACTTACAGTGGTTTATGGTAAAGATACGAAACTGAAGCTCGCCGATATCAATTCGTAGAAGACCCCAACGTGAGGTGCACATCTTTTAAATTGGTAATTTGAAATTTGCTTTTATCATAATGCTCTTCCGTGGCCAAATCGGTAGCGACAGCTTCGGCTATATGAGTGATTTCTCCGATGGAAAAAAGAAATATACGTTCGTTTCCTGTCGGGAGTCTCAAATTTATGTATAGTCAAACTTCTTGATCTAGTCTTATTGTTATTCAGTGTTTCAGAAAAACAAAAAAACAAAATAAAACAAGAAAAAACAAAAAAGGGAAAGCGACTCACATGTATACCCATTAAAGGTGACGTTTATGATAATAAGTGTATATATATATATATATATATATTGTTAAATACAACAGACAATGAATGTCTCTTATGTGTGATCATGAGCCGTTCTAAATTTCGTATACTTGCTTTCGGGCGGAAATAAAGACAAAAATTGTCCAACATTTGGATATTTTTTTATTAAGTCGGTCCTTGATCTAAGCTTTCGGCTCAAATGACCCATCTTCAGAATGGTTATATGGACATTTTAACAAAGATATTCACCATCAAAGATGATATTCTGTTATATTGACATAGAAGATTGATATGCGACGATAACGTTCGCGGAATATCAGACGCAGGACGTAAACTTATGATGCGGTTCTATGCTGTTGTACCAGCTTCAGTTGACCGCCAATCTAGGAGAAGGACAACTATGAATTCAAAACTGAGTAGGCCTGTTTAGGACTTCATGGCGCATTGTACACAGTTTCACTGTTCTCTGTTCTTCTGAAAATTGTGGGTGGTTCTATACAATACATACTTAATTCAGTCCTATGTGTGGGTTGTCCTGAGGTTCGGTTATAAACACCCTGAAGTGTTGGCCTGTCATACGTCGAAAACCAACGGGAAGAGTTCACTATATATATATATATATATATATATATATATCGTAGGACCTCAACCGCCGTGGGATAGCCTACTGCAGAGAATCATTTTCCACACACAGTCCGAGAACTGTGTTTTTTTTTTTTTACTTATCCGCGATTGGCCGAGTTTTCAAAACTTTATTATACTAAAACTATTTTGCAATGCCCAGCATATTCCAAGAGAGTAATTAATATATGTGCTTATATACAAATACACAGAAAATATTTTAATAATGATAATAATAATAAAAATGAAGACGGTGTCTTCAATCATAATAGTACACAGCCATTAAAATATGAATCATTAGTTATCTATTAATGTGGCTTTGTTAGCCTCTCACCTAAATTTACAGGTGAAAGACATGATCAAAAATGGTGTTTCACTTTACGGCAAAAGTCTTAGACATCTCTAAATGTTTTGTTTTTACCCGCGGATCTTACAAACCACAGACAACCCATCTGCCACAGATAACAAGATCCACATATATATTTCAGCCTCTGATGGACTTTATAAAAGGCAAAAATAAGGATTTTATTTTACAACATATATTTATTGTTATAGTGACCTACCTACATGGGAATGAACTCTTCTTCCTTCATAAATACTAACCTGCGAGACTTCCTAGTGGGAGACCGTCGAGACGCAGTGTAACCTGATAGTTTGGATAGACACTTCTATCTGCTGACTAATAATTGCTTTGTATATATGTTCTGTTATTTCAATGCACTTGTCTATCTTTTTCTTTCCGTGTCTTTCTTTCTGACCCATAACAGGCCACAGCATTTATAAACAGAGCTAAAAATGGGGTGAGTTTCTCAAAATTTTGAAATTTAAGAACGCTCATTAATATACTTCTGGCTAACGGTGAAAGGCAAGGTAAACTATGGGGGATAATAAGTGAGACAATTTAATGCTTAATAAAAGAAGTAAGTATTGTTATTGTTGATTTTTAATGCAACAGACAACACACACAATGAGAGAGAGAGAGAGAGAGAGAGAGAGAGAGATATGCGCGGTTAATGAAAATTATCTGCGCAAAGGACTTACCAAAATCTGGCCAAACATCAGAATTATTTTGTGTACTGTGGGTATGCATGCACACACCTGAGAAATCCCGGAATATGAACAGCAGAGTTACATGTAGCCAGACTGAAGACTATTTCAAGTAAAAAGACAGCTGCGGCATTGCCTGAAAACAAACACTCTTGATTCTGGCAAAGTGTAAGAACGACGAGAGATGGATTGTGTCATATATAAAAGAAAAGTAAAACATTGAACAGAAAGATGAACAGTAATAGCTTTAAAAAAGAAAATAATATTATCTCTCATCACTCCCGTCCCAAAAGATTGGTAATCATGTCATCTGAGTGGGGCAGATTTTACAAGAATATATATCTTGTAAACTCCCAGCAGTCCGTGCAAAATGTAGCGGAGAGAGAGAGAGAGAGAGAGAAGAGGAGCTAAGAAAGACAGGGAGTAACAGAAGAGAGAGAGAGAGAAGAGGAGCTAAAAAAAGACAGGGAGTTTTTTTTTTAAGAAAGACAGGGAGAACAGAAGAGAGAGAGAGAGAGAGAGAGAGAGAGAAGAGAGCTAAGAAAGACAGGGATTTAAAGAAGAGAGAGAGAGAGAGAGAAGAGGAGCTAAGAAAGACAGGGAGTAACAGAAGAGAGAGAGAGAAGAGGGCTAAGAAAGACAGGGACTAACAGAAGAGAGAGAGAGAGAGAGAGAAGAGAGCTAGGAAAGACAGGGGAGTTAACAGAAGAGAGAGAGAGAAGAGGAGCTAAAAGACAGGGCTTAAATAGAAGAGAGAGAGAGAGAGAGAGAAGAGGAGCTAAGAAAGACAGGGAGTAACAGAAGAGAGAGAGAGAGAGAGAGAGAAGAGGAGCTAAGAAAGACAGGGAGTAACAGAAGAGAGAAAGAGAATGTTACATGAGAGTGAAAGAAATGGAGAAAATGCCAGGAAGATAGAGAGAAAATGTTTGAGGAGAGTGATAGATTGCCAGAAGAGAGAGTGAGAGAGACAGACACACACAAAACCAAAACGGAGGGGAGACACACACACACAGAGTACCAGAACGGAGAGAAAGAGAGAAACATTGAGGGACAGAATACAGTGAGAGAGAGAGAGAGAGAGAGAGAGAGAGAGTGTGTGTGTGTGTGTATTAGAAAGTTGCGAGAGGGAGAGAGGGAATGACAGAACAGAATGTAGAGAGAGGGTGGGGAGAGGTAAACAGAATACCAGAAAGTAGAGACAAAGAGAGGCAGAATGCCAGAAAGTGGAGAGAGACAGACAGAGAGACAAAGATAGGGAATACTAGATGGCAGAGAGACAGAGAGAGACTACCAGAAAATAGAAAAAGAGACAGCAAGAGAATCGTAGAGGGGGGGGAGAGAAAGAGAAAGAGAGTGAAAGTGACAGACACAATGACAGAGAGAGGCAGAGGGAGATATGGCAGTGCTAGTTTGTCGGGACATGAGCGAACTCTACACTAGCAAGTGCATTGAGGTAAGATGAAGCTATGGTATTAGCGGCAAGATGAGGGAAGTAGAGCGAGAAATGAATGGTGAGGCAACGGCGATGTAGGCCGTTGGAGAATGAGGCGTGGGGGGGGGGAAGAGGAGTAATGCAGAAAACGAGCCAAAAGCAAGTGTCGCTTGATACCTATGAAGAAATAGGCAGGAATATGCGGCAGGCGGTTCGCCTTTCAACGAAGCATGTTTTTGTTTATAAAAATAGTCCACCTTGATGAAAAGGCAGGGACCGTAGCTTTCTGACAGTGTGAACGGGAGCAAGTGTGGGATCATATTAGACACAAGACTCAAACTACAAGACTAGAATGATAATGTCTTTTTAAAATCGCGCCACAGTTTCATTAATAAATGAATCTATATGCGTCCAGACAGAAGCGAGAATAAAGCTACGAGATGACACGTTGGATTTTAAAACTCAGATGTCACATTAAGATGTTTCGCTAAACTGTTACAGAAATTGAAAAAAAAAATCTGATATTTTAACATGCGTCTAACAAATAAACAGCGATCACTCACTTTTAGATAGTTCAATAAAAACTGCTTTCAGCTGAAAATCAAGGTGCCAAAAGGGTCGGGTGTGCGATGTCGTGGAAGCTCGATTTGTAGAGTCAAGTCGATGTATTGTATTTGCGTTGTACATAATGAAAAACAAGTTCAAGTAAGAAGAGATTTCTTTTTTAAAGGATCAATCGGATACAAATATGTTCACATGAATCAGTGCTTGTCAAGAATAATTCATTACAACCTTCACACTATTTAGCGACAAACGAACAACATATCTACCAGAACAGTAATGGAGTATATCTGCCTCTATTTTTGGTAAGGCATTTATTTTTGCTACAGTCCAGGATAATAGTTAGAGAAAAATCCCGTTCAAATAAATCGGAGATCAAAATTGTCTGTAATTCTTCCGTATTAAATAATTCGAAATATGTAATCAGTTAAGATAATTCAGTTCATTTTATTCGTAATCAGAATAATCTAACTAAAACAAATAAATCATTTTTTTTACTTATTTTCTATAAAATGTTTCGACCCAGTGTATATCTGAAGGAGAATGCCTTTAAGGCAGTCTTTAAAGAGTTCATTATTAGAAGGCAAAGCATTAATGAAATTCATTTCTGTAAGTTAGGTACAAGCTTTAATTTTTTATCTGTTGAGATTATATATATATATATATATATATATATATATATATATATATATATATATATATATATATATATATTATATAGATTGGGGCAGAAGATAATTATTCAAACATATTGTTAAATATAACAGAAAGAATGTATATTATGTTTGATCATGAGACATTCTACGCTTGTATATTGAGTTTAGCTTCAGGAGAAAATAAAGACAAAAACTGTCCAACATTTGGATATTTTTATGGTATTGTGTATTTCGGCAGCAATCCCTCCTTCATACATGTTTCATTAAAGACGGCTGAAAAGGTACTGCGATTAAAGTTTTATTCAATTTTTCTTGCATTCCTACAAGAATTTTCTGTTCTGAACATCAATTATTAAAACCTATTCGAATGTTCTATATATCGGAGCGCTTTCGGCTATTTTATCAAAGATTTTTTTTTTTTTTAGTATGTAAATTTTTTATATATATATATCTATAGTGACGAGAATGTTTTTATTTTATTTTCGAAATACGGCCAGCACGCTGTGGCAGTATTCTTTGGTGATATTACTGAGTATTGGCTTTTTCATTTTATTATTAATACTTCCATTATGTTTATCAATTTCTTACATGTCGATGAGGTTATTATGGTCTTATTTTCCACAAGTATGTTGCGAACGGAGTTTGGTAGGTTTCCGTCCGTGTTTAAATGGGTCCTAATTGAACTATGTTCTGAAATTATATATTTTAGCATATTATAACAAAAACATGTTAAAAATCGCTACACGATTATAATCATGTTTCAACAACACAAATATGTCTCCTCGGCGATATCAAACCACCGCCGAGCGAAAGATTAATATAATTTTAAAATTTCACCTATATATATATATATATATATATATATATATATATATATATATATGTGTGTGTGTGTATGTATGTATATAGTGTGTGTGCGCGCGCGTAAACGTATTTTTTCTCAATGTATATATCTACACGTGATATAATTAAATACAGAAGCGTGAACCGTTGGAATGTCACCAATAACATGTGTTGCACGAGAAGAAAAACGTCTTAAGTAGACACACAAATAAGTCCACTGAAAATTCACTACCGATGTGTAAACAGAAAATCCCATTTTTGTTGTGTTTGTAAACAGTCAGAAAACGAACGGCTGCTTGTTAACCCTAACGCTGCACGAGTCGAAATTAAAGAAAAGGAAGACAAGAAATAAAAGAAAACAACAACTTTGGTTGATTTACGTAACAGAATGATGTGAAACATTTTGTTTTCTAATGACCGAGAAATAGTGCGTATTCGAGCCTCACTTGATCCCAGTTAGCACATTCCTCTTGATGATCGGCCCATATAGACACGGAGGGGATCGAGGCGAAGGCAAAAAGGCGTGGGGGGGATCGAGGCGGAGTAGATAGAGACGGAGGGAAAGAGGCGGGTAGATCAAGGCGAAGGCGAAGGCAAAGAGGCAGAGGGGATCGAGGCGGAGTAGACAGAGACGGAGGGAAAGGGGCGGGGAGATCGAGGCGAAGGCAAAGAGGCGGAGGGGATCGAGGCGGAGTAGACAGAGACGGAGGGAAAGAGGCGGTGAGATCAAGGCGAAGGCGAAGGCAAAGAGGCAGGGGGATCGAGGCGAAGGTAATGAGGCGGAGGGAATCGATTCGAAGGCAAAGAGGCGGAGGGGATCGAGGCGAAGGCAAAAGGCGTGGGGGGATCGAGGCGAAGGCAAAGGCGCGGGGGGATCGAGGCGAAGGCAAAAAAAAGGCGCGGGGGGGATCGAGGCGAAGGCAAAAGGCGGGGGATCGAGGCGAAGGCAAAAGGCGGGGGGATCGAGGCGAAGGCAATGAGGCGGAGGATCGAGGCGAAGGCAAAGAGGCGGAGGGGATCGAGGCGAAGGCAAAAAGGCGTGGGGGGGGCGAAGGCGAAGGCAAAAGGCGTGGGGGATCGAGGCGAAGGCAAAAAAGGCGCGGGGGGATCGAGGCGAAGGCAAAAAAGGCGCGGGGGGGGATTGAGGCGAAGGCAATGAGGCGGAGGAGATCGATTGAAGGCAAAGAGGCGGAGGGATCGAGGCGAAAAAAAAAGGCGTGGGGGGATGGAGACAAAGGCAAAGAGTCGGAGGGGATGGAGACGAGGGCAAAGAGACGGGGGTGATGGAGACGAGGGCAAAGAGACGGGGGCGATGGAGACGAGGGCAAAGAGACGGGGGCGATGGAGACGAGAGCACAAAGAGACGGAGGCGATGTAGAGACGAGAGCACAAAGAGACGGAGGCGATGTAGACGAGAGCACAAAGAGACGGAGGCGATGTAGACGAGAGCACAAAGAGACGGAGGCGATGTAGACGAGAGCACAAAGAGATGGAGGCGATAAAGACGATGGCAAAGGGACGAACGAGACAGAGATGCGGGCAAAGAAACGGAGGAGATGAAGACGATAGAAAGATGGAGTGAGCGATTCAGTCGCAGACAGACAGCGATGGAAAAGCAGAGAGAAATTGCGATAGAGAGGTAGACAGAACACGATTATAGAATATGGTAGGCCGAGAGAAATATATTGAGAGAGATACAGTGATAATTTATGTCATATTTTTTCCTTGTGATTAAAAAAAAAAAAAAAAAAACGTGTCCACACGTGTTCGTTTATTATTACACAGGACGATAAAGACACGAAACTGAAAACCTTTTTATCTATCACACAATCCACTTTCTCGTTGTTATTCTTCATTGTCTGTTGCACCTAGAAATGCAAATTATATGATGAATTTATCCAGAGTCTTTCAGTAAATGAGAAGTACAAAAATAAATAAAAATGAAACGCAGGATACTGACCCGGGTGCAATTTGGATGCTTTCGTTATTGATATGTGATTATAGCTGATGAACAAAAGTGAGAACAGGCCAATCTTTGTTTATTCCTTTCATTTTCCTTTTTAAGTATACAGGAAACCGGTCTTTAACCGAAGTTAATAAAACTGGAATTATTTTCCCTTGACATATTTTTCTCGTATTTAATAATCAAAAATCCGTGGTCAGAATTAATCAGAAATTTCTTCATTCTACAACTGAAATCATTTTAACTGAACAACACTTGCGCTTTGATGTGCCGTTTTTGCTGTCTTATAATAACAAACAAACAGAAATCGGATCCTTATAAAACGTAATAAGAAGGACTGGGTTATTAATCAATATAAACTAAATGAGAAAATTGAAAACTCTAAAATAAAATAACAATGTTTTAGTTTTAATTTTAATTATTTTGTACGTTGTTGGTAAATAAAACGAAAACCTTTTTGTAATGAAACTTCAATATTTATTTAGTGCGTGAGAAGTTAGTGTTTATCCGTACACTTAACGGAAAGTGGCACATGGTCAAATCTAAAGTGGTGGCCGAGAAATTATAAATTCAGCATGGATGGAGGTTTTGTAATGAAATAACCAAATTCATTTTTTTTGCCGCTTGTCTGTTTAGTATAAAATGTTTCTTGACTCACTAAAACTATTTTGGGTAATTATCTGATGATGATGATATACGTTTGTAATTTTATGTCCCTTATTGACAGCCGTACTATGGAATGGAGGGAAGTCATCTTCAGCTATCGTCACGATCTGCGAAATTCTGTGAAAGTACAGTTTGAGAAAATTAAGTTGGTCATTTTAAAAATAAGTGTGTGTGAAAGAGTGTGAAAGAGCGCGCGCGCACGAACGAGAGAGAGAGAGAGAGTGAGAAAATACGAGTGGATGAGTGCGTGCGAAAGAGAGAGTGTGAGTGAGTGAGGACTACAGCGAGAGAGAATGAAAGA